TTTTTTTTTTTTTTTTGGAGACAGAGTCTTCCCCTGTTGCCCAGGCTGGAATGTTGCAATGGCACAATCTCAGCTCACTGCAACCTCCACCTCCCAGGCTCAAGCAATTCTTATGGCTCAGCCTCAGCCTCCTGAGTAGCTGGGATTACAGGAGTGCACCACCACACCCAGCTAATTTTTCTATTTTTGGTAGAGACAGGGTTTTGCCATGTTGGCCAGGCTGGTCTTGAACTCCTGACCTGAAGCGATCCACCCGCCTTGGCCTCCCAAAGTGCTGGGATTACAGGTGTGAGCCACTGCCCCTGGCTTTACTTTTGGTTTTCATTTCATTCTGTTCCCTTGCACTATAACGTCGTATTTGCCAAGGAATTTCAGAAATGAAAATGAGGTTAGACTAGATGACTCTTAAGACCCATACCCATTCTGGGGTCTGTGAAGTGTTTTGACAGAAAAAAAGCTGCCCTACATGTCTTGCTACCAAGGAGGTTAAAATGTTAACTAGTGGATTGGAGAGGTGAGTTTCATATGATTTTTAAAAAATATATTATTGAATTGAAAACAGAATGTTTGGTGTTTCATTTGGATCACTTAGAAAGAGTTAACTATTTGCATTTATGTTCATTTTGTGGTTACTCAGAGCCCTTCCTTTTTTGTAGAAAGCCCAGACCCAGCTGAAGCTCCCCATCGTGCCATCCCTCCAGAGGCTGCTGATTTATCGCTGGGCCCACCAGGCTCTGGTCACGCCTTCTGATCACCCTCTCCTGCCACTCATTTGGCAGAAGTTCTTCCTTCTGTATCTTCACCGCCCAGGACCACAGTATGGGTATGGTGCCCAGTATTGTAGGTTTCTGTGAGTCCATTTCTGCCTTTTCACTGCTCTCTTTCTATGTGTTCTTAGACTGTGGAGTGTGAGTTGGAATCATTCTTTGGTGATCTCTGGCGAGGACTCTTTGTCTCTCTCTATGTTTGACATTTATTAGACTGGATCTTTTTTGAGTTGGTGGTGTCTTGTGGCAGCTTCTCTTTCCCATCTTCTGTGATCAGTGTAGTGAAGACAACACCCTGGGATTGGGCAAGGTTTCACACAGAACTTCTGGAGATGCAAAGGGACAACAACGGTCTCAAACCTTGGCTGCCTGTGTGACCGTCATGGGCTTGTGGGAGGGGACCTTGTGATGAGTGGTGCAGGTGTGAACAAAGGCCAGTCTGTGTCTGTCACCTATGGGTTGTACTTGGAAATATTTAGCATTTTCATGGGATTCATATGAAGATACTCCACCCAGCCAGAGACATCCACTATTACCAACCATTGCTCTCTAGCTCCTGCCTCAATTCCTCATTCCCTTAACTCACTCATTTGAAATATATAGATGTTGACTGGGCATGGTGGCTCAAGCCTGTAATTCCAGCAGTTTGGGAGACCAAGGTGGGAGGATCACTTGAGGTCGGAAGTTAAAGACAAGCCTGGTCAACATGGTGAAACCCCATCTCTACTAAAAATAGAAAAATTAGCCCAGCGCAGTGGCACGTGCCTATAATCCCAGCTACTTGGGAGGCTGAGGCAGGAGAGTTGCTTGAACTCTGGAGATGGAGGTTGCAGTGAGCCAAGATTTTGCCACCGCACTCCAGCCTGGGCGACAGAGCGAGACTCTGTCTCAAAAAAAAAAGTATCTATCTATATATATGTGTGTGCGTGCGTGTGTGTGTGTATAAATAGATAGATAGGTAAAAAGTTAGATAGATTCTTAGTCACTTCTATTTTTGTTTTTGCCAGATTGCAAGTTCTTCAAGAATAGAGAACGTCTTTATCTACGCTGTACCTCTAAATAGTGATGATGTCTTAAATTTGTGTAGCATTTCACACTTTGTGAAACTACTTTCATATACACCATCTTGTTGGACCATCAAAATAATCTTTGAGATAGAAATAATAGGTATTAATTTAATGGTGTATATCCACAATCACAGTAAATTGCCTTGCTAAATGACTGCTATTTTATGCCACGCAGAAAGTACATCTTGTGTTGAAAGGTTATAGATCTGTGCTTGCGTTTTTTTAAGGTTACCCATAGATGGTTGTATTGGAAGAAGGTTTTTTCAAAGTCCTGCTCATATCAGTTTGTTGAAAGAAATGAAGAGACGTTTGACCGAGGTGGCTGACTTCCACCATGCTGCAAGCAAGGCCCTCCGTGTTCCAGCAGAGGGCAGTGAAGGGCTGCCAGAGAGCCAGTCTGGCACCCCTGGTTACCTGACTTCACCAGAACTGCACAAGGAGCTGGTGAGGTTAGTATGGTTATTTAGCCTCTTGCATTGTTGTCTGCAGCACAGGTACTATGCTGGAGCGGTTAACTGTGTTACAAACTGCTGGATGTTATTCTCTTAACATGGTTTGATTGAGTATGGAAGGTGGCTTTGATATAGATTTGCATCTTGAAATGTTTCTCTTTTATGTTCCTCAAGCGAACTGAATCAACAGTTTGGATGTACTTGTGTCGAGTGCCTGTAGTCTGAGTGATAAATCCTCTTCTACTTCTTTGTGTAAAAATAGAAATAAACCAAATTTTATCATAGCAGGTAAACAATGATTAAAGCCTACTAGACAGCCTGGGCAACATAGTGAGACCGTATCTCTACAAAAAAAAAAAAAAAAAAAATTAGCCAAGCCTGGTGGCATGCACCTGTGGTCCCAGCTACTTGGGAGGCTGAGATGGGAGGATCCCTTAAGCCCAGAAGGTTGAGGCTGCAATGAACCATAATCATGCCACTGCACTCCAGCCTGGGCAACAGAGTGAGACTCTGTTTCAAAAAAACCTTGCTAGAATAGTTCTTTTTCTAAGAAGGAGTGTCTCACTGTGTTGTCCAGGCTGGAGTGCAGTGGCTATTCATAGGCACAATTATAGTGAGACGATCATAGTGCACCTCAGCCCCAAACTCCTGGGCCCAAGTGATCCTCCTGAACAGTTGAGACTGCAGGTGTGTGCCACCACACGTAGCCTAGAATAACTCTTCAAAAGAAACAAATGACCGAGGCAGGGCTCTTTTAGTTGGTTCATCCTCCACCGGATTCAGGGATCCACCTAGGATGAGGGGTCTAGTAATCTCCCAAAAATATGTGCCCTATAAAATCAGGGTACAATATTTGCTTCCTGTAAAAGGTTAAGAACTCTGAAGATAGGTTTGGATTCCTTTTACACTATTCCTTCATCTTTCATTTATAAGTTTGATATAAACCAAATACTAGTCTTACAAATAAGACTTAATAAAAATGGCTCTTAAGAATTAATCCTGAATACCCAATAGCTCGATGAGGCCCCCATTTCAACTAGCACTGAGGCCTCAGGTTTACTTGCCCTCAACCTTTTAGGGCTCTCTCTCAGCCTCCAGAATGATTTCTCCCCTTCTGTTGCTTGTTGAAGGAGAACTTCTTTTTAACCAGCCTTAAGCAGTGGAAGGCTTTTTCTGTGAACATTTTAGATAAGCCAAGAAAGTCTTAGATATTCCCTTCTGCCTCTGTTATGTTCCCCTTCCTGGTATGTGTTCATAAAGTGGCCATCTATTTCACTGAGTCAGAAACTGGAGGAGAGAACTACCTAGCAACCTCTTCCCTGTAAGAACCCCAAAGCCCTGTCCTTGTCTCTGTTCCTAGACTGGCTGTTCCAGAGGTAAAGGAGGTAATTTTCCACTTTATTGAGTAAAGTCAGGCCAGGCCACCTCCCAGTCCCCCACCCAGTAATTTGTGTGTTTGCCGACTATTTTTCTAGTACTGCTGGTAGAAACAAAACAAATTAAAAATGAAGGAAGTATCATATTTTTAAAAAGGTTTTTACTGGAAACTTGGAACTTTTCTTGAGGCAGGGTCTTGCTGTGTCACCCAGGCTGAAGTGCAGTGGTGCAATCTCGGCTCACTGCAACCTCTGCCTCCCAGATTCAAGTGATTCTCCTGTCTCAGCCTCCTGAGTAGCTGGGATTACAGGTGTGCACCACCATGTCTGGCTCATTTTTGTATTTTTAGTAGAGACGAGAATTTCACCATGTTAGTCAGGCTTATCTCGAACTCCTGGCCTTGTGATCTGCCCGCCTCAGCCTTCAAAAGTACTGGAATTACAGGCCACTGTGCCCAGCCAGAACTTTTATTTTTTTAAGTCTGATTTTATTGTATTCCATCTTGATGAGAGGGGCATACACACATGCTATGATATTTATTTGTGATTCTTTGAGGTGGGAGATGGTTCTTGAGCCTAAAGCTGGAAAATTCCTACAATGCATAAGTTTAAAATAGCTCTTAATATTTTCTCTGAAAATGTTTTTATTTGAATGTTATTTTTGCTTTTCCAAGCAGAAATAACTGACTGAATTGCTCAGGAAAGAAAAGCTCCAAATTCAGATCCCAGGTCTGTGGTAAAAATCACCTTTTCCAGTTATTTTTTTCTGTGTACTGTATTTAAATCTACTTTAAAGAATGGTTGTCAGAGCCCCTTCTTCATACCTTTTGTTTTAGCAATTATCGCATCATATTTGAATGATCTGTGACATGCCTCCCCTGCTGAACCAGCAGTTCCCTGGGAGCCGTGGTGGTTGTTGGCCACATTTTCTGTATTATGGGCTTTCTTTACTCTTACATAGGGGTGCCAGTGTTCCTAGAGATGTAAAGAAACTTCATTTGCATGCTCATCTTTTTATGTTTCATATAATTATGTTTTTATCTTTTAGGCTCTTCAATGTATATATATTATGGCTAGAAGATGAGAATTTTCAAAAAGGAGATACCTATATCCCTTCTCTACCAAAGCATTATGATATTCACAGGCTAGCAAAAGTGATGCAGAATCAGCAGGTGAAACTATAGCACTCTTTTTTAGCATATCCGAATGTAATTTGAACTGGTCATATTCATAATAATAAAACAATTTATTGATAAGAAAATGGATAGTCACTCAGATGGTCATTGTTTCTGTGAGTTTTGTCAGTATCTAAGTGATTATATGGAGGGAATACTCCCTTTTGAATCTCCAGCCACACCGTGCCTTCTACTTGAAGGCTCGAAGCTTGTTTAGGGCTTTTTACAACGTCATAAACATAACCTTCCTCTGACTGTATATTTTTTAAAATTGGAAGTTCTTAGCAGCTAAACACCTTTAAGCAATTATCTCTACTCCCGTTCTTATATGCAGTGTAAAAATTTGTAAGAATTTGTAAGCATCCATATGTGATGTAGGAGGTTAGTTGCATGGAGGAGATCAGGAGCTCACCTTTGTTTGGCTTTGGAGGTGCTTACTTGTCCTTGTCACAGTTCTGGTTGCTCTTCTGGAACCACTTGATTTCAGTCTTCATATGTCCTAAGCTGTTCTCTCCAAGGCACTCAAAGATGTCTGTGACCCTTTTTCAGGCCAAAACTTGTCATCTCAGTTTTCTCTAAGCTTCTCTAGCCTTCCTGGGGACAGGGAAAAAGGGTTGGAGAAGACAATTCTCTTCTGTTCTAGTTCTTTTTTTTCTAGGGTTGCAGTCTTTTGAGCATTGACCCAGCACCAGGATGGGATTTAGGAACCTCTAAGAGTTGAAACACTTTCATTTGGATCCTTAAATCCTCCTACTTTCATATCATGTGTATATTTTATCTCCAGTAGATGTCTTTTTCTTGTTTTCTTTCCTTCATTCCTTGCCTTTCTTCTTGCTTTCCTTTTTCTTCTGTATTTATTGCGTGTCTTCTAAGTGCTAGGTACCAAAGATACAAAAAGAAATCTGATACATTCCCTGCCTCCAAAGAGCTTATTGGCAAACAGGAGACTAAACAAACAGTTATTACATTTTGTGATCAAGATTATGGGCCAGGTGCGTGGCTTACACCTGTAATCCCAACACTTTGGGAGGCTGAGGCGGGTGGATCACCTGAGGTCAGGAGTTCAAGGCCAGCCTGGCCAACATGGCAAAACCCCGTCTGTACTAAAAAATACAGAAAATTAGCTGGGCGTGGTGGTGGGCACCTGTAATCCCATCAACTCAGGAGACTGAGGCAGGATAATCACTTGAACCTGGGAGGTAGAGGTTGCAGTGAGCTGAGATCACGCCACTGCACTCCAGCCTGGGCAACAGAGAGAGACGCCATCTTAAAAAAAAAAAATTAGGAGAGTGGAATGCACATAGTACTATGGGAACATAGAGGAATAACCCCTCATTTGGATTGGACCTGGAGTGGTGGCCTTTGAGCTGAGCCCTGAAGGACAAATGGGAGTTGGACAGATGGAAAGGAAAGGCATGGTGTTAGGGAGTGGCAGAGAGGATGTTAACGGGCAGAAAGACCAGTGTGTGCAGAGACATAGCAGGTGAGAGAGAGTAGGACATAGCAGGTGAGAGAGAGTAGGGCATGTTCAGAAAGGTGCAGGGTAGGGCAAAGCACCTGAGGCGGGGCAGATGAAACCAGAGAGGTGAGTAGGAGTGAAATCCCTAAGGACCATGTATACTTTTCGAAAGAATTTGGCTTGTATTTTGAAGTCTTTGTTTGGAAAGCTATTGAAATAGCAGCAGTTGTTAATGAATGGATGAATTAAGAATATATCGAGGAAGAATCAGATACCCAAAGACTTTCAAATTTCTAACTTTGGCCCCCAGAGATAAACCCTGGAAGAGCGGGTACCTGAGGGGCTTCAACGAGAGCTCTCTATCAAGGAGTTGGTCAGCAGGGGAGATACAGATCTAGAATTCAGGAATGAGGCAAAGTTGGATATGTGGATTTAGTGGTAAGAGAATACGTAGATTAAGAAGGGGACTGAAGATGGAACCCTGAGAAATAACAGCATTTAAAGCACAGAGAAATAAGACTGAGAATATAGAGCCAGAGAAACAAGAAAAATACACATGAGACCATGGTGTCCTGACATCCTTTGAGTGCAGTTCCATCCTCGTCTTTTTATACTTGACATCCCTCATCCATATCCAAAGCTTTGTACATGGTAGGTACTTGGTCAGTGTTTTTAAAAATTAGCCATTGCTTTCTTGGTTCTCTGAGATTTATCCTGGTTCCTCAGCATCAACAGAACTAATTGATTTCTTTCTCCCTCTTTTTCTTTTTAATTCAGCCTTTGCTTGGCGCTTGATGTATAATTTCTTGATCTGTGATTCAAGCTCAGGGTTGTTTTGTATTTTTGTGGTTTCTAAGACATGTCTGTTTACCTATCATTAATTCCTAGTATTTGCTCTGATCATTAGCCTCTGTTAACAGTTACTTAGCATAGAGGCAGAGAAAGTGACAGAGTGGCCCTATTTAAAGGAGCATGTATGCAATAGGAGGATCTGACCCAGCACATTGAACAGTCAGCTGCATGTAGAATTCAGAATTGTGACTGGGATTACCTTGGAGCTCCTTCTCTGAGTCTGGAATGCCTTGCGCTCTGGGGTTGGTTTGGAAATAATGATTTGGGACTTCACAGCAGTGTGCTTATTGAGAAGCCAGGGACATTTTTTGGTTTAGAGGGATCCTTGGGCCTTTAGAACACTTAAAATCCAAAAAAAATCATGGTCCACAAACCCATAGTCCCTATTTGCTCACTTGCTGTTACTATTTGAAGTTCATTGATAATTTGACTTTTTGTTGTTTTTAAAGGCAGTCCCCCATTCTAATGCGTAGTGATCACTAAAGTGAAATATATATAATTTGAAATAGGTAAGACAGCCCACGGGAGTATAGGGGGAGGATACTAGAGCTGCTATATTTATTGTTTTCTCATTTTATTTGTTTACTTATGTGACACCTGTTATGAAAAAATTCCATCGTATAGGAAAATAGGGAGACCAGTATAATGGGGATGCCCTTCTCCCCCTCCCCGCATATGTCATGTGTCTAGTTTCATCTATAGCCCATCCACTTCCTCTTCCATTTTATCTTGGCGGTAATCCCAGAGAGCAGTTGATACATGAAGATTTTAAAAGATAGGGATAAAAAATGACATAACCTAATAGCATACCTAAACATATTAGAAATAATTTTTTATATCAAATATTTAGTCAATGTTCAAGTTTCCACCTTTCTCATAAATGTCATAAAAGTTTTATTTTTATTTTCATAGTTTGAATCAGGATTCACCTGTTGTGATTGGTTGATATGTCTTAAAAATCTGTTTAATGTACAAGTCCTTCCCTTATCCCTTTACTTTTTCTTGCAATTTATTTGTTGAAGAAACTGAGTCGTTTGTCCATAGAGGCTCCCCACCATATGGATTTTGCTAACTGTATCTTCATGGTGTAGTTTAACATGTTTTTCTGTCCCCTGTGCTCACTGTAAATTGATAGTGGGATTTAGTGTCTTGATCTAATTCAGATTTGATTATTTTTTAACATTTTATTTTTTATCTCTTTAACATTTGCTATTTTTTACCTATGTCTTATAGTATACGTCACGTATTAGCTTTATAATGTATGTGTATAATTTTTAAATATACATATAGGGCTGTTAAAACTTTTTCTAATCATGATACACGAAAAAGTTTTATAGCTACTGCAGAGATTGTTAGAGTGGTCATTTTAATGGCAATTTATCCTAATGCTGGAGGACTTGGAGTAGACCACTTCATGTTGAAACTTACTGGTTCACTTTATAATTAACTATATAGTTTTATATGTGAATCTATGACTTGTCTGTCAGAGTTAAAATACTGTCGTTCTGTTTCAGGATCTGTGGATGGAGTATTTGAACATGGAGCGCATCTACCATGAGTTTCAGGAGACTGTTGGTCTGTGGACACAGGCCAAGCTTGAGTCCCATTCCACACCCTGTAGTTCGTCCGTGCAGCTGGACTTCACTGATCCTTTGCTGGGTGGGTCCTGGGAGCACCCACCGCTTCGAATGAGTGAATGAATAATTGAATCAGAGCCATTGAAGGTTGAGGCTGACATACTTTATTCCTCCAGTGTTCATTTTTCCTCCGATGCTTTAAAAAGAGATTTCAGTTTACTTACACAATGGTGTAAAGTGCAACTGTAAATGTAATTACTTTGCAGTTTTAAAAATCGGAAGTCTGTCTTTTTCTTTTATAAACTCTTTCCTCTGTACCTGGAACTCTTACCTTACAAATGAATCAGATGCCTGAAGTTTCTAAGTTACTTGTTTCTCCCAGCACATTTTTCTAGAGAAAGAGTGATATAAATTACCAGTTAGTTTTCTATCAGGCCACAAAAACCCATTTAAAGTTGCTGATATTTGGGGTAACCTATTTTAATTACTGACTATATTTCAAAAATATAGGACATATAATTATAAATTCAATTGTCGACCAAAATATTACAATATATAGTGTAATAAGACACTGAGGTGATCCAGAGAAATGGAAAATACCTTCTTATTCCAGCTTGCCACTAACCAAAATGCGTTAGTTGTATGAAGAGAGAGAAATAAGAACTTCTCTGGACTTCACGCCATTCATCTGTAAAATGGTGCTGGCTGGTCTCTTCAAAGGCTCTAAAATTTTCCTTCCAACATTTCCTCTCCCTGCATTTTTTTCTTGAAGCAATAATATGTTTTTCTGATTATAAAAGTTATATGTATTAATTTGAAAAATTAAATGATATAGAAAGGTATATATAGAGGAAGGGATGAAAATTGCCCTCAAGCCAGCAACATAGATTCTCATTTTTCTATTCCTGAAAGTTTGTTAAAGAAGAGGAAGAAATATGTGAATAGATCTGGAAACTATTAAATGATTTCTGTTCATGCCCTTCCATTTGTAGTGTTGCTGTGTTGCCTGAACACTGCCCTAAAAGACGAATTGTTTTCGCTGGAGTTAGTAATTTATGAAGCCCTTAGTTTGTTCCAAGCAGTGTCTCAGTGCTTTATGTGCACTAACTCAGTCCTCACAAAAACCCTATGTTGTGAGGTTATCCCTATTGAGCAGATAAGAAACCCAATTTGTAAGCTGGTTAGGTGACCTGCCCGCATGGGCCACTAACCACCAATAGCTGGTTATTGGGCAGAGCCGTCTGATTCCAGAGACCTGCTGTGCACCACTCAGTATTCTACCTCTTGTGTCTGGTGATCACTATACCTTGTACTTCTAAACAAAATTAGGGCCTAGACTTCTAAATAGTGAGTTTCAGGTTTTTCTCAGATGTAAGAGGTTAGTTGATGATTATATCAAATGATTGAATTTGTGGTGTGATTGGTTGTAGGAAAAATTTCACTAGCACCCTTTTTCTTAAACTAAATTTGTTTTACTGGCTTCAATATTTTTGTCAGTCATGGTCCAGAGTGGTGATTCCTATTAAATATGAATTTAGATTTTTTTGTTTGTTTGATTTTAAAATATCCCTGGTTTTTCTTTTACGGTAACTTATATTGGGTTTGAAAGAGCCCCCAGTTTTCCTTTAGCATCGTGGCCTCTTATGTTGCTTGAAAGGAACTTTAACATACATAGTCACAAGTCTTATCCAGTGATGAATACCTAACTTGGTTACATCTGTGCAAACAGTGATTAGTTCTAGTGGAAAAACACCAGCTATAAGGGATAGTGCTGTACTTGACCTATTTGAAATGTTGAATTCCATCTGTTTGGGGTACAAACAATACAAGTCTCCTTATGCCAAGTAAAGTCATGGCTATTAATTTTTCTTTAATTTTTCTCAACAAGAATAGAAAATGGAATGTTACATCTGGAATGTAATCGGAAATTCATAGTAGTCCCTTAAGTACTTGTTGACTTGACTTATTGACTTGAAATTCCCTTGACCACTGCCCTCCTCTGTTTCTTGCTATTGAAAAGAATTGGGTAGGTAGCAGCATTTTTCTTCATGTTATTCAGTCCCCACCTGCTGTGTGGTATGTGTATAGTGTGGTGAAGGGAGAGGAAGGGAAGATAGGAATCTATTGGATATCTACTGTGTATTCAGCTCTGTACTAAGTCTAGAAGTATCAAACACTTGAATTTGATTAAACAGTATGAGATCATGTGTAATCTAGGGCAAAGTTGCATGGTAGAGGTTCACCTTTGTGTGTGTGGGGGGCGGGGGGGGCAATGGATTGCTTATTTGGACTCCGTAAATCATTTATTGAGTGAATGAATAAGTAAATGACTGATGGACTATATGACTGCATAAATAGAAGTGCTGAAGGAGCTTATGCATATGTCTTCATTCATTTTATCTCTTACTGCATCCAGTCCTCCTTTTCAAACCTTGACCTTATTTCAGATTTTTAACTCAGCTATATTCCATAATGCTTATTCCTTTTTCTTCAATTCCTCTGAACTCTGGATGATGGTATTAAAACCTTAAGTAGGTTACCTGCCTCCAGACCTACTCCATTCACTTAAACCATTATTCAGATGATAGCTACCATCTGATTCAAGCTTGCGTAGAGCTGTTCACGAGATCCACATGATATTAGTGTAAGGCACTAGATAGTAGCTTTACACTAATATCAAGTCCAAACTTCTTAGCATGTCATGCAAGGCCTGTCTAGGGTAATAATTTAAGATCATGAGCTTTAACTCTTTAACTATCATAAGACTGTAAACTTTTTGAGGATAGGAATGCTACTGAATTGTACCACATGCTTCTGATCTCCTGCTAATTCACCTGATTGCTCAGTGTATATGACTTAATTTTCTTTCAGCTAAAGAAAGAGTTTTAAGTAACTTGCGGAAGCATGAGGCTCCCCAGCCTCCCCTTGTTCTGCACCCAGTGAAGCCTCCTGTGCCAGTTATTTCCTCCGCTGTGCTATTGAGTCAGAAGGACGCCACCCAGCTGGTGTGCACAGACCTGAATCTGTTGCAACAGCAGGCTAGGTAAGACCGTGCAGCCTCAAGGATCATGTTCCCATGCTGGTGGCTTTGACAGTCTGGATGATTTGCTACCTGGAGTGGCTTCCTCGTCAGCATTTTTACCATGAGGATAGTTTGCCCAGCCTGGCCCAGATGGTTCACTTGGTTAACCAAGTTGTGACAAGTCTTATAATTTCACATCAAAATTATGTGGTACTTTCACCAACTATCAATTTCTCGTTTCCTGTGGTCGCATTTCTGAGCATCAGCAGTGCCAGCTAAGATTTTCTTATGCTTCTCATGAAGAGATCTTCTGATATTGGAAAGATGGTGTTGGAAAGGTGCGAAGTGAGAGTTCCTTTCTTTTCTCATTGCTGTACTCTTTACCTCTCCATATTCTTTAAGAAATTGACATAAACATTGATTGAAGTGTGGAAAAGTTATTAAGTATTTTGAGTTCACTTGGTGGATACAAAATGATCAACAATTTAAGGTTTTGATCTAACTTGAGATCTTGTGAGAAGGAGCATATGTGGAGTAAGTCTGTTTCATTAACAGTAAGTGAGCCTCACTTTTACAAATCCTATGTGAATCAGTTTCTTATTGGTATTTTTTTCCTTGGCTGTTTTTGGTCCAGGCATTTGTTGAGTGTGTGTGGAGTGCACATATAAGCACCTGCCCATTAATGTAATGATACATACGGTTAGACCAGTTTTGACACCCCATGTATGCCATTAGCTGCTTTCCTGGTCTTTGACATTTCATTTTGAGTTGCTAATACCTAAGAAGTCATTGGTACTTACAATTAAGGCACCCCTTGGGGATGATTAAGCTAGGATAGAATTCTCATTTGTTCTTGTAGGGTCTGTTGGTATAACATGGATTCTAAATGAAGCTTTGTTTGTGGCTATAAAGTTGTCTCACTTTTCTATAGGCTTTTCTTTCATTTCTTTGCTTTCTCTTTAGCCTCTCTGCCAGGGGAATGATTTGGGTAAGTCTTGGCTCACAACCTTTGGTCCTCTGTTACTATGGTATATGCGTATTTTGCTGCGCTATAATGCTGGCTGTGGGTAACTGGAAGCCTTTATCACTTATCATATAACCTTTCCTAAGACTTTCTTTTACCTCCTGATGATGTTTTTCAGAAACGCAGCTCTTCGGGAATCTCAGCAGGTTGCTCTGGATGGTGAGCTGTTGGACACAATGCCAAAGCAGTATGTGAATCGTGAAGAACAGACCACACTGCATTTGGAGTGCAGAGGCAGCAGTGGTAAGAAATGCCAAGGAGCTGCAGTTGTCACCGTTCAAGTAAGTGTTTACATTTCTTCAGAATTTAGAGAATTTTAATTGAGTCCGTAATGTTGGCATATCACTGAGGAAGATTGAAAGACATATATGGCACACTGTCGGTGTCCCAAACATTTACTAGTTTTGGTGCGTATGAAAACACTCATAGAGTTAATCACATATTTCTGTAGATACCAGATGAGTCCTATAAGACAGATATTCAAATAGGAATTCAAAAAAAATCAGAATCATCGAGAAGATTCCTAGAGAGAGGGGCTTCAACTGATTCCTTTTATTGTTTGTTTGTTTTTTTTGAAATGCAGTCCCCAGGCTGGAGTGCAGTGGCGCGATCTTGGCTCACTGCAACCTCTGCTTCCTGGGTTCAAGTGATTCTCCTGCCCCAGCCTCCCGAGTAGCTGGGATTACAGGCGCATGCCATGAGGCTGGGCTAGTTTTTGTATTTTTAGTAGAGATGGGGTTTCACTACATTGGTTGGGCTGGTCTCAAACTCCTGACCTGGTGATCCGCCCGCCTCCGCCTCCCAAAGTGCTGGGATTACAGGCATGAGCCACCGTGCCTGGCCTCAACTGATTCTTAAAAGACTTTGGTGATGATGCAGTTAGAAGGAATGTGGAAGTGGGGTGGCCCTGATGTCATTTAGGGGTCAGTGGCTAGGTCAGCCTGTTCCAAGTGTTTTGAGGTGCTGGTGGGAATTCACGTTGGAAAGGTTGGTGTGCACCATCATTGGGAGCTCTGGCTGTCTGCTGCACATGGCAGGGAACCCCTGAAGATGAATGTGGGAAGCAAATTAGTCGGGTGGAGCTTGCTGACAGGCAAGAGGAGAGACATGCAACAACGTGACTGAAACTTGAATGGCCTCTCAGAGTTACCTTCTTGCACTGGAATATAGGCAGAATTTGGATCTGCGATATCGTATGGACTTCATGATGGAAGCTTAGCTGAAGTTAGCATGTCATAGCATTTACTCTATGCCAGGCCCTGTCTAAACACTTTAAATAAGTTATTTTATCCTTACAACAACTCTGTGAGGTGGCCATTATCATATTATCTTCTTTTCTCAGGTAAGGAAGTAGAGTCACAGACAAGTTAATTAAGTTGTGCACCTAAAGTGCCATAGCCCGTAAGTGGCAGAGCCAGAAAGGCCCAGACAGTCCGACTCCAGAGCCAGTGCTCTTTTTAAAGTAGAGATGGGGTTTTTTAGTAGAGATGGGATTTTGCCATATTGCCCAGGCTGGGCTGGTCTCAAACTACTGGGCTCAAGCAACCTGCCTATCTCGGACTCCCAAAGTCCTGGCATTGCAGGCCTGAGCCACCGCACCTGGCCAGCCTATGTTCATTAATCACCGCACTGTATTCCTCCTCCGAATGAAGTCAGTATTCCCTAAGCTGAAAGATAAATGCTTGGAGATGAGCACTGCCTATGGTCTAAATCTAAGTCTACACACGAATGATTCTTTTTTGTTAGCTTTTGGAAATTGGAGAAAATTTATTTTATTCTCTCTTGTTTGTCTTTCAGAAATTTCCCTTCATTTTTTGCTAATTTTCATTGTCAGTATTCCAATGTCTCCATCAATTTCCTTGGGAGACTCTTTTCTACAAAATGTCTTCTCTGAAATAATCTTTTGTATGTATTGTATTTTTCATTACTTTCAAAATGTATCTCTGATTTTTCAACATAGTTGTATGTGTCTAAAGTTCAGAAATTTGACCTAAAAGTTAGGATGTGTCCAACTCATTTTCCTGTATATTACTGTAAATATGTGCGACTCCTAAACATTGAGTTATCTTTGGCCAGGTGCTTTATACAGTTAGTTTTCTTTTGGTGTATTTTTTTCCCAGTTACTAATGCTGTTGTAGTAAGACCAAGGTAGAAATATTTAAGAAAAAATCACTTGCTGAAGTAGTAGAACTGGGAGAAAAGTTTGCCAATTTACGGTGGAGTTTGAGTTAGTGAGGAAAAAACTGAAAATGTATCCAGTTTTAATAAAAAAAGGGATGTCTTCACCAATTTGTGTTTTTCTGTATTTTAAAACTACATATCTTTACCAGACTGTTAATTTTATATAGAGAAGAGAATTCTAAAATGCATTTTTATAAGTGACAAGTGAGATAACTATAAAGAAATGTTTTTCCAATTCTGGCTGATGGCTTGCTCTGTGAAGAATTGTAAATATTTACTGCCTCAGCTAAAGAACAGGTCTCTTGCCCTAACCTCCTGTTAGCTCTCTGGGTCTTGCAGTGGAAGATACCACCAGGCAAGCCAGGGAGCTGAAACTCTAAGCCTACCAGTGAATTGTCTTTTCCTTTACAGAAAAAGGGATCATAGTATTATATTATTTGTCTGAACCCTTGAATTGAGATTTTAAACATAATCTTTTGCTTTGTTAATTCTGAAATAAAAAGATACACCTTTTCTAAAATGTCTTCTAGGTGATTTTGATTGGAGGGAGGTCAGAGAAAAGATGATTTATGATAAGGACTGATGTGAACATGGCTTAGATGTTTTTACAAACATACCAAAGTTCTTGTGCTTTCTTTCCTTAAAAAAAAAATTTGGGCTGAGCGTGGTGGCTCACACCTGTAATCCTAGCACTTTGGGAGGTCAAGGTGGGGAAATTGCTTGAGCTCAGGAGTTCAGCAGCCTGGGCAACATGGAGAAACTCTGTCTCTACAAAAAATATTATACAAAAATTAGCCGGGCATGGTGGCGCACACCTGTGGTCCAAGCTACTTGGGTGGCTGAGGCAGGAGGATCACTTAACCACAGGAGGTCAAGGCTGCAGTGAGCTGTGATTGTGCCACTACACTCCAACCTGGGCAACAGAGTGAGACCTTATCTCAAGAAAAGAAAGAAAAATTGGTAATTGCTAATATAGCTTGAAGAAAGAAGGGGGAAGAGTAATGAAGGACAGAGGGAAAAAAGGAGATTTTGCAGAAGCTTAAAGAGTTTGAAAAAATAGCTGTATTTTGTGGGCCTAACCTCATTGGAAATATTTAAGTTTTCTTAAAGCAGGTTTTAATTTTCTGCTGGCCTCACTTGTTTGGTTAGTGCCCTGACTTTTAGCCTCACTTGGGAAGTTCTCCAAGCTTGAGATCCCCCACTGATGGCTCCTAGAAGTTCAGTATCAATAATAGTATCGACTGCAGTCAATGTTTTGCCTGACATGCAGATGTGCCAGGGCAATTAAAAACGTGAAGACAGTGAACAACTTTTATAGGCTGAGACTTAAATAAGCTTGAAAGTTATATAATACTGTCGTTGCTAGTTGAGGCTATCCCAGGCTGTATTTGCCGGTTGATACTTAGAGGACTTGAAGATAAAAATCTGTTTTGTTACGCATTAATGGCAAAGGGCAAGACAGAGGAAAGCTGAAACTACCTGCTATGAAGTTGGAGCATTATCTATGCAAGTTGATTGTTTTGCTCTGATTTTTGGCCAAAGATTATACTTAAATATGAAGCCATCCATTACCCAAATGGATAATTTTGGTTATCGATGACTTTAGTTTTGGAAAAAGAGGTGTTAATGGAGCATAGAAAGGGTGAGTTCTCAGTGTTTGTGACTCATCATGAAACTGTCATTGGGAGAGATTATGCCCTGCAAAAAGTAGATTGTGTTATTTTTATACATAAAACTGTAGCCCTCTATATAGATGTGTCCAGTGACCACCTCATGGCTATGTCCAGTAGTTTTGATTCCTTTTAACATCTTCCTATTGTGATACTGAACTTTATGTAGTCTCATCTCTTCCCTCTGAATCTCTAACCACTTCTCAGTTTCCAGGGTTTCTTCTTCCTCAACTCAAACTCTTAGATTGCTAGTTATCCTGATTCTCTTCTTCATATGACATCATCTTTTGCCTACTGTCTGTGCTGGAGTTGTTAATCTGGGGTCTGTGAATGGTCTTTAGAGAATTGGTGAAGTTCGTGAAAGTGTATGTAAATTTTTTTTCTGGAGAGTTTTTAACTCCAGTAGATCTCAGAATAGTTCGAAAAAGAACAAAAGAACCATTTACTCATATGTTGATAATCCTGTTCTGTTTCTCTAGTCCAGAATTCTCTCTTGAGTTCCAAATCTAGATTTCCGCCTGCCTCATTCTAACCGAATGTCCCACAAATACCTCAAACTCCATATTTCTCAAATTAATCTCATCTTTACCTTCCAAATCTCTTCCTATAATTTCATATAGCTGATCTCCCCAGATAGAAACTTAGGCATCAATATCATCTCTTCCAGTTACTCTACCCTACTTCATTCCCGTATTTTCCGTAGTTGCTTCCATATTGGTTCCGCCTCTGAAATAGCTTTCTGAAGCCTCTGACATTCCCTTCTCTGTGTTTCTGTTGCCATTTCTCCATGGTAGGCATACCTCGCTTCTCCCTTGACCTATTGCATTAATTAGATTTCCTCTCCATATCTCTCTCCCTGCCTAGTCTGTTTTCCATTCTCTCATTACTCATCTTTTGAAACACATCTGATCACATTTCCAGGCTAAAAACCCGTACTTACTTGGCAGTATCAAAAGGAATATGGCCCTTAGCGCCCTTAATAATCTGTTGTTGGTCTTCTTCTAGCAGCATCATTTATCCTGTCCCCCACTTCGCAGACATTTTACTTTTCAGTCATTTAGACTTTCTCCATTTTCTAAACACAACATACACATGAATACCTTTGTTCTTCGCATATGCTGCTTTTGTTCTTCTCCCACCTGTTTCTGACCTCTTTCTGGCTCAGCCTTCAGTACTTAGTTCAGGCCAAACCTCTTCTTGAGGTCTTTGCGGACTCTTCCAGTCAAATTGAGATGTTCTTTCCTTCATTGCAGCTTTTGGCTAAATGCTGTTGCAGTCACTTGCTGTTTTGTCCTGCCAGACTGAACTCTTTGGGAATAGGGTTTCCATCTTTATTTGTTTTTAATATTATTATTATTATTATTATTTTGAGATGGAGTTTTGCTCTTGTCACCCAGGCTGGAGTGCAATGGCATTCACTGCAACCTCTG